GCTGCTCGCCTGCATCACAGGCAGCTTCAGGTTCATGTCAAAGCCCAAAGACAGATCAGCTTGAAGGAGGGGCTGGAGGTCGAACCGCCAGACCTGGGATCAGTGACCCACCGGCCACATCTGGCTGATGTGATGAACGAGATGCTTTACAGACGGAGGCCCGTCATGGCGCTGATGGAGGTTGTTTGGACCGTTAAACAGTTCTGCTCAGTGATGACCCAGCTGACCAGGACATGGTTGAGTTCCAGAGTTCTGTGACATGTTGGTCTGATTTGATTTCTGACTTCCATCAGCTGTCAGGACTTCCTGTGCCTCACATGTTGTCCTGCTGGATGTAAACAGTTCCTATGCTGCTGAGATGAGCTCCTCGGTTTGTTCTGCTGCTCTGGCTGTTAGAGCGACATGCAGAAGGACAGTCGTTTCATAGAAACCCTGCTTCTTGTGTTGTTGACGGAGCAGCCCTGAGGATGGAGCGCTAACGACACTCTCTTTGTCCCACTCAGGAAAATCCCACCTGGCCATTGTCCAGAAGGTGAACAACGAGGGGGAGGGAGATCCTTTCTACGAGGTGCTGGGCCTGGTCACTCTGGAAGACGTCATCGAAGAAATCATTAAATCTGAGATTCTGGATGAATCAGACCTTTACAGTAAGTGTGTCTCTCTGTCGCTGTGGTCATACTTATTTAATTACTTCATTATTCATGTCTAAAGTATTGCTGTTGTCTCTGATAGGTGAACATCAACAGACCACATGTGTACAGTTGATAGGAGCGTCTCTGAAGCCACCAGAGGCGTGTTGCTGCTGTCATGGTTACTCACTGTGGCCTCACTAGCATGAAGCTCTGCACCTCTGTGGAAACAGAGAGCCCAGACTAGAAGTAGAGACAGCCCAGACATCTGCTTTACGCAGCTTAACGAAAGTGTCATAGATCGGAAAGTAGAAAAAAAGTTAAATTTCTTTGGTTATTTATTGTCCATGTAAAACATTTTTGTGCCTGCAGGTGTTACCAAGACGGTAAAGCCCGTTACTGACCCTGTTCCACTCTAATCTGAGTGTAAGTTTAACCATAAATGAGTGTGTCTGCTGTGTTTGCTGCTCCTCAGCTGATAACCGCACCAGGAAGAAGGTGGCTCCCAACAAGAACAAGAGAGACTTCTCGGCCTTCAAACACGAGAGTGAATCCAAAGTGAAGATCTCTCCTCAGCTGCTGCTGGCCGCCCATCGCTTCCTGGCTACAGGTGGGACTGGACCGAGATCAGCACTGACACTGACTCATCACAGCTTCGTTTACACCCAGCTGAACTGTAGGCCACATGTACGTCTGAGCATATGTCTCCGCTGCAGCCACAACATGTCTATCCTCAGGCTGTCAGTGGTGATTGGTTCCTTCATGCTGCCATCTGACAGAGAAGACGTGTCCATGCATGCCGGTTTGAGCCTCTTTTATTGACGTGGAAGATCTATTTAGGACCAAGCAGTGCGTCTGCTGTGCCTACCACACTGCAGGCTCTGGCTGGCTGGATGGGATGCCATCACTGCTGAAGTCTCCTGAGGACGTGTTGCAATCTGTCTGGTTAGCGTGTTAGCTGATATCCTCTGCCAGAAGCTGTTAGCTGCTGCTGGCGTGACGTAGCACTTCCTCTGTGGCATGTGTCTGCCTCTGCAGGCATAACGTCAGCGTCTGCTCAGAGGGTTTGTGTTTTCTTTCCCAGGATGTTGATGTTGGTTTTTGATTCGTGACACAGGATTTGGATTTCTGTCCTGTTTGTTTGTTCTTGTTCAGCCCGACAAGCCTTTCCTTCTCGTATCTGACATCTGCATGTCTCTGACACGCGTCTCCCAGAGAGGGAAAGGCTGCATTACAAGTTTATCATTACACCACGATGTTCTGCTTCAGGTCATTAGTTTGAGGACTTGCGACATCAAGCTCCACCAGTCTGCTGAGTTTTTCTGAGTTGAATCAAAGCTGATCAGACCAGCAGCTATCAGTGTTACAGCCGGTGAGAGTGGGACAGAAACACTCCGTCTCCTCTGCAGTGGGTGAACGTGCTGACGTATTATGTAAACTGGAGGGAGAGGGTTTGTTTGCAGTGGAGATGATGGATTCTGACGCTGGCCATACATGCCTCACCTCTCACTGTGTCGGCTTTGTTTGCAGGCTGCTGGCTCTTTGTTCGCGCCCTGGGTGGGACTGAGTGGCAGCTGTGATTGCAACAGCTTGACTTGCAACGGTTGAGAAATACCAGTTCTTTTTCCTTTAACAGCGCACATTAATCAGCATCTCAGTAAAGGTGCTCGTGCCATCGAGGAGGCTCCGCTTCGTCTGCCACCGTCGGTACTGATGCAGAACACATGAGGTTCATGGCTGCGCTTAGCGACGCGTCCTTATTGGTGACCTATAGAACCCAGGCCGACGTCTGCGTTTGGCTTCTGTCGTCCAGTCGTTCAGAATCCGTGTTCATTGATCTTAATGATTAGAATTTGAAAAGGAGTGAGTTCTTATAAGAGATTAACTGGAAGCAGAGAGTGTTTGACTGATTATTAAAATACTGTTAAAATAATTTTTTCTAAAAATCAACAAAAAGAAAAGTGAAAGTACGAGACAGATTTTTGCCTTTTTTGATTCAGCTGTCATTTGCTTTCTTCTTTTAAATACGACAACTGAAAACAACAAGTCAGCCAAAAGGCACAACATGTAGAATAGAATAGAATCGAACTTTATTGATCCTTTTGGTGCAAACCTCAGGGAAATTGTTGAACATGTAGAACAAATGTGAAACTGAAGCTGCACCGAGGCCCAGAAATGTGTGAAACATTCAGAGTTCGGACCGATCAGTACCGTACAGCTGCTCAGCTGCAGCAGAGTTAAAACAGACTTCATGTTATCACGTTCAGTCCGAGGTGAGGTGGAGGTGTGTTCGGCTGCTTCAGCTCTACCCTCACCAGCGTATCTGAAGACGTATGAGCTGTGATCAGTGTCTGGAGATGATCAGTTCATAGTTGATTATTTGGTCTTTGTGAGAAAATGCCGTCACATTCCTGCTTCTTGCTTTGACCTGATCAGCGATCTGAACCTGAGACATCGTGTTGCTGTCACATAGGAGCTCTTCAGATCGGGTTTTACGCTTCACTGGAAAATACTTTTGTGCAACTTTAAACAATTATTTGATTATCAAATTAGATGCTTCTTGTTTTAAAAACCAAAAAGCACCTAATTTATAACCGTTTGTGCCCTAACCCTAACCCAACCAGTGCATTAATTAAAAAATAAACTACTTCAGGTTAAAGCAGGAGTCCTCAGTTAAATATAAATCACAGAACGTGACCTTGTGAAGCTTTTCTCACGTGCATGAGGAGGAGCTTAGCTTTATGTGAACACGTTGTAGTGCAGTCCATTAGGTCATGCTGTGTGTTTATCTCACCCAGAACATGAGCAGCCTGACCCAGTTCTGCTGAAGCACTGTCATGGTGTCATTAGGGGCTCCTGTGGACTGTAAAGTGTAGGTTCCCCTCCGTAGCGAGGACGTCCGCTCTGAGCACCGTTTAGGTGACTCTTTAATTCCATGTTGTCCTGCAGACGATGACATGAGGACTGATGAGCGCCTTGGTCTGGTCGCTGCAGGACGTCAGCTGATGGAGTCAATGCAGTCGGACAGAAAGCGGTTGTCTCCTGTAGTAAAGCTGTCTCTGTTCTTTTGTCCTCCTGCAGAGGTGAGCCTGTTCAGCCCGTCTCAGGTCTCAGAGAAGGTGCTGCTGCGAATCCTGCGTCATCCCGACGTGATCCAGGAGATCAAGTTCAACGACAGCGACAGGCGCTCGCCCCACCACTACGTCTACCAGAGGGGCAAGCCCGTCGACTACTTCGTTCTCATCCTGCAGGTACACGGCGCTACGCAGCGGTCGGTCTGAACGAGGAGAACCGTACCGCGTTCTTCTGTCTCCATGCATCCACACAGACGTCTCATCAAACACAAAGCCTCTCTTTGCTTTAGAAACAGTTCTGACTGAATCAAACAACCACCTGATCACTTCTTATACATTTGCAGTCAAAATGAAAGTCCTTGGTATCAGAACTTAGAATGACACAAACCCCAGCACAGACCTCAGCGTCTCCAGACTGAAACCAGGTCAGCAGCCTCTCCAGCCTCCGCTCCAGGACCCTAAGCGCTGGACCGTGTGAGCGTAGCAGCAGATGTATGTTTTTGAAGTGACAGCCGTGATCAACGCTGGTAAAGGAGAGCTGCTGAAGTCCTTCCTTTTCATGTTCTTATAAGTGTATAATAAGATCCACTTAACCGTCCTGTCAGAGGAGATCATATCGACCCACCAGTCCTCTGAGTGATCGTATGGACCAGGGTCAGCGGCCCTGTGCTCTTCTCTTCCTGTCAGCAATCAAACTTTATTTGTAGAATAGTTTCCGAACAAGTCAAATACAGTCAGAACTGCTTTACAAGCAAGTGACAGAACAAGAGGCTTAAACGCTGACGCACACCAGAACAGTGACGATGAAACAGAAACACGATAGAAATAGCACCATTTATTCATAAAACTGCAACATGGTTGAATAAGCAATAAAAATAATGAAGTATAAATACTGAAACCACCAGATTATGAGCAGACTGGTGTCTAACGTGGGGCCATGTGGTGCCTTATGACTGAATAAAGAATTTAAATCAGTGGGAAACGTTTAAATAGTTTAATATTCATACAGTGCTCTCCGTTAACACTCCCACAGCAGAAAGAGCAGAACCTCTCTGTGTCCTGCTCGTTATCAGAGAGAACTGTGTCATGATGGATCCTCCTTCACGTCTTCACCTCATGGTGTTTCCATGAAGCTCAAGGAAAAGTCATTTCCTAACGGTCTGCCTGTTCCTTGGTACAGACCGGAGCTGTCATGGACGCTGCCTGGTTCTGGTGTCCACATTCATTCTCCACCTTCTAAACAACCGGCTCCACACACAGTCTGTGTGGCAGCAGGTCTGGAGATCACATCACATGATCAGCAGATGGAGCTGTCTCAGTTGTCATGGAAACATACATGTTTACTGGTCACTTGGAGCATTTCTGTCCATGTTGGCCTTCAGTTTAGTTCATTACCTCCCAGTACCAGAGGGCTTTAACTCCACACAGCAGGTTAGTCTGTCAGACCCAAGTGTGGACAGGAAGTGTAATCAGATTACTTCTTATAGTCTGTCTGCCGTCCACATGTCGCACTCCAGCTGCTTCAGGTGTAGAGTGTGCATCAATGCTGAGAGACTGACCTTCTGCAAACACTCCTCCTCTTCTTTTCTTTCTTCCACCCTCACCTCCTCCTCCTCCTCCTCCTCCTCCTCTTCCTCTTCTCTCC